TATAGGGTGTGTGTGCTTGCCAGACAGACAGAGAGAGACAGAAAGCAAGAAATCACCCCTGAGGGGGGATGGCCACACTGCAATCCCTTCTCCTCCATTGTCTTCTCGGGATCTTGGGCACGCACGCACATGTGCCCAGCGTGAGTTTAAGTCACTGGGTCCGGGACTTGAACTGCAGTCGACTACGTGGGAGTCCAACGACATAGCCATTATGCTAACTGCTGGTCCCTTACCTTCTGTTTCGAACTGTGTTTGAGGTGATTTTTTTCCTGTGCTGTGTTCCAGGTCCCACTGTTCATCCCAGCTTTGTTTTCCTTCACGTGCCTCTTCATGGTTGCCCTCTCCCTGTACTCGGATCCATTCAGTACTGGGATTGGTTTCGTCATCACGCTGACTGGGGTCCCTGCCTACTATCTCTTCATTATATGGGACAAGAAACCCAAGTGGTTTAGAAGAGTGTCAGGTAAGACTTTTAAGCCATTTCAGGGCCTTGTGAGTGTGTCATAGAAAACCCATCAAAATGTACATAACATCTATATCTTATTATTAAAACATAGAAGTGGCATAATTGCTATTGGATGGTTGTAAAAATCATGATAATTTTTTTTTTGCATAGAAAAACATAAAAATACATCATGACTTTTCTGACAATCCAATAATTTGAGTACATTTTTTGTTTTTGCTATGGGGTGCACAGGCTTGCCAGAGACAAAGAAGGAAGGAAAGTAAGAAAGCAACCCCCCTGCCCCCACCAGACTATGCCACAATCCTCCTCCTCCAGCTCCTCTCGGGATTTGGGGCATACACACACACACGTGTCTGCTGTGATTTTTAAGCTACGGGGTCTAGGACTTCCAGTATAGTTGGCCATGTGAGATCCAGTCACCTTAACTCCCATGCCATCTGGCTCGCTCACTAGTTTGAGTAAATTGCTGCTTTTTTTTTTTTCTTTTTAATAAATATATTAAAAAAAATTTATGCCAGGGCACATATGTGTACACATGAGGGAGAGAAAGAGGGAAAGAAACCACACCTTAACCCAGTGGAGCTTGGTAATGCCATATTTATTTTTTCCTTCTATTCTCCATCCCATGAGGGTCCTGGGCACGCATGCCTGGTGTGTTTTTTCAAGTTTCCTAGCCTGAGGCTTGAACCCTGGGCAGTTATGTGGGATCCAGCTTTCTCTGCACAGTGCTTAACTGCTATGCTACTGGCTGGCCTTGATAGTGCATTTTAATTGAAACTGAAAGAAGAAAAAGCAGAAAGAACATGTAGTTACAGCCACTGAATCTTTTCAAGATCATTCAGTTTGGGTAACCCTAATCCCTTCTTAAGAGAATAACTCTTTTAGATAGAATTTGATCAGCAGTTATGTAAACAACCTAATTGTTCTTTTGAATCCCTTACTAACCTGATTAGCTTTCTTCTGGGTTGAAGGCAGTTTGACAATTCTTCTTTTTTTCAGGGGATTTTGCATTTGGGCATGTGTATTCCCTGGAGAGAGAGAGAGACAGACACAGTGAGAGAGAAAGTGAGAAATCACTCCTTGGGGGGGGAGGGTGTCAGAAAGTGAGAAATCACTCCTTGGGGGGGGGAGGGTGTCTATACCACAATTCCCTCTCCTCCATTCTCCTCTTGGGATCTTGGGCATACATGCATAGGTATCTGGTGTGATTTTGAAGCCACCAGGCCCAGGACCTGAACTGTAGTTGGCCATGTGGGAGTCCAGTGACTAAACTGCTATGGCATTTGCTGGTCCTGGCGGTTTGGTGATTCCACATCCTAACCTTTGCCTTGAGTGGTATGAGATTTGTTGGGGAATTAGGCAAAGCCTACAACTGTCTGCAATATGATGATTATAATATTACTTTAATGGAGATGACAAATCACAGAAGGGTCACAGTAAGAGCAAGAACAATAGAGATAAGAATATAAACTTCCGTTTTTTTGGTGTGACTTCTATGTGTTTATACATAGTTAATTCCATAGCAACCTTCTGAAATAGGAAAATTAATATTCTCAATGTACAGATTTTGAATTTTGGCATAGGGAAATTTATGTCACATGTTCTCATACAGATGTGACAGAGGAGAGCTGGAATTTAAACTCAGGCAGTTTTATATTCTAGAAAAAAATCATCCTGGAGGCAGTGAGGATGGATTAGAGCGGATTTGGGACTGAAGATAGAAAGTCCAGTTTGGTGGTTACTGCAGGAATCCTGATGAGAATTAGGAAGAGTCTGGACACTGGCAGTCCCAGCTGGTTCTGAATGAAAAATGAAAGATATGGAAGAGGAAAACCCAGCTAGACTTGGTGACCAGTTAAGTAAGAGGAGGCTAAAATATAGTTGATCAGTAGGTCAGAAGAGCGTATATGAGTAACCTGTGTTGAAAGCCTGTCTCTGTGTCAGGGGATGTCTTAAGGCCTTTTTCCTATATTATTATCTCATTCAATACTCAACAAGATCGATGTGTGAAGTAGTGTTATTCTTGTACTCTGATAAGGAAACCTGGACTTGGGGAGATGGGTAATTTCCTTTTGTTGGTATAGATTTTACACCATAGAGTTAAAATTTGAACTTTTGGACTTTGAAGTCCATTTCCTTTTTAGATTGGTTATCTATAAGAGAGAGAGAGAGAGAGAGAGAAAGAGAGAACGGTTAAGAATACAGTCAGATGGGGCGAGCAGGTGAAGTGGTGGTTGACTCTGGACTCCTACATGGCTGACCATAGTCGAGTTCCAACCTGGCATCTTGGAAATCAGTCTGGGCACGTGTGTGTGTGTGTGTGTGTGTGTGTGTGTGTGTGCCCAAAATTCCAGGAGGAGAATGGAGGAGAAGGGATTGCTGCATGGCCATGCCCCCTCGGGGGTGATTTCTCACGTCCTTTCTCTTTGTCTCTTTCTGTCCTTCTCTTGCAAGTTCACTTGCCCTATGGCAAAAACCTTAAATTAAAAAAAAAAAAATACAGCCAGTGTGTACTTACTGGTAAGTTTAGTGAATTTAGAATATAACTTTTGTACTTCTCTTTTTGTTTTAATGATCTATTTTGCCATAATTTTTAAACTTCCAGTTAAAAGTTAAAGGACATTTTGGTAAAATTATTAATAATAATGTTAGTGTCACTAAAAACAAAAGAAAAATAAATGACTTGACTTATACACTGACTCTGTGCTGTGCTGTAAAACTAATTTAGAAACCAGTCATCTAAAGCAGAATTTTTCCACTACGTTTTTTTTTTTTGAGGTTATTATTATTATTATTTTTACTATAGGGCATGTGCGCTCATCAGAAAGACAGAAGCAGAGAGACAGAGAGTGAGAAATCACCGCCCAGGGAGGATGGCCATACCGCAATCCCTTCTCCTCCATTCTCCTCTCGGGATCTTGGGCACGCACGCACACATGCCCAGTGTGAGTTTAAGCCACCAGGTCCGGGACTCGAACCACAGTAGACTACATGGGAGTCCAGCGACATAGCCATTACGATAACTGCTGATCCCTTGCCACTACTTTTTATTAGCTTCTAATTGGTATTTACTATCTTTAGACCTTATACTACTATTTATACCTGGAATTTCATAAAGAAGTGTTATTGTACAAATTCAGTTCCTTAAGACCTATCCAGGCACACTGGTTTATGTTAACAGAATTTTTAATCTCTGTTTCTTCTTATACCACATTAGTTTTTTTGCAGAATATTTTTAGTTAAGTTTTCTCTGTTGTAGATACTAAATAACCTTTTATGAAGAATTAAAATAAAAATGTTTTAATATTTACCATTAGGGGCCAGTAGGTGGCGCTGCGGTTAAGGGCACTGGATTCCCACATGACTGGTTGGGGTTCAAGTTCCAGACCTGGTGGCTTGTTTTCTTACTTTCCCTTTCTCTCTCTTGCTCTGTCCCTCTCTGGTCAGGTTAAAATAAATGAACAAATAAAGCTTAATAAAATAATTCTTAAAAAATACATTTACCATTGTTGTTGTTTTTCTCATGATCATGTTTTAGGGTAGGTTAGTGCTTATCACTGTGAGGATGGTGTTTATCACCAGTCCTACCTAGAGCCAGTTAAGACTCTGAGCTCCAAGGGAAACCTAGACAATTGAGGAGGAAAGAAATGGTAGTCCCACAGCTGGGCTAGAACAAGAGGAAGCGTGAGGAAGAGTAAACGTATTGTTCTACCCCACTTCATAGGCGTTGCTTCTGTTTATAGTTAACTGACCCCAATGACGGTTTTCTTTTGCAAACACGCCTGTGTTCTGTACCATATCTTTGTCAGTTCATACCAATAAGCAGTTTTTATGCTTGATCTTTCTTTGATGTCTTTCAGTACTCTGATATTTGGGAGGTTTTTTTTTATTGTTTTTTGTTGTTGTTGTTGTTGTTGTTGTCATTTGTCTGTCTCTAATGACGTTTTGAACACCTTCAAAACCTCCAAATTTAGTGTTAGCCATTTGTGAAACTAGCAGCAATGGAGTAGTCCCATAATGGTTATTTGGTTCTCTAAAATGCCATTAAGTCTTACCAGGGAGCATGGCAATTCTGCCTTTAAACTGAAATCATTGTAAGTCTTTATCTTTATAGCCGCCTTGAAAGTGAGTAGCAAAAAGCAACAATCCTCCGTAATTTTGTTTGATTTTCCTCTTAGGCAGCATTCTCGTAGTAAAATAAAGAAAATTCATAATATTTATTGCTACAATAGCAAGTATTTTCTTAGCCTTTGGCCAAAACAAAATACTCACACACAGACGTGCAGCGCGATGGATTCCTGAACTGCCATTCCAGGCTTTCCCCAGTCTACGTCCATCCAGGACCAACTTGGGGGTCAGGATGGGCTTTGCTTGTAGCAGTTGCTTTTGTGGTTTAATATCATCTTGTCCTGTCTGGTTACATTCGTCAGCCTTTATATTAGCATCCACTTTTACTCTAATATACATGAGTAGGTTAGCCTTGTGAACACAAGGCTTTGAAAATACACCTTACCTAGACTGTGCCTATAAAAATGAGAGATAACTGAACAGCAGTCAGGAAATGGTGAAACGCTGCTTAGTCCAGACAGCAAGGGAATGCTCAGAACTCAAGGAGCCAGGATTTTCAGAGATTTGATTAATTTCTCTGGCCACAGGATGCCAGTGTTGAACCACTTTTCATTTGATCGCACTGCTAGGGTGAAAAGAAAACATGTTCTGAAGGGAATAGTCAGATACACAGAAAGCTTTTTGCTGGCCATCTGTGACAGAGTGGTTAATTCTTCTCATTGGTTCTTTATATTATTCATCTATTTATGGAAACACAAGGTTCTTGCACAAGGAAAAAGGGGCAGCTACCCCACCAACCTATGCAAATATAGGGAAATATCAAGACCTGCCAAACAGGACCAAGGTCTGCAGCCCTTTTAGTTTTCTGCCTCTATTTATCAGCCAAACCCTGTCAAGGTGAGAGTGAGTGGGGTGACTGGAAGTTGGTCCCCGCTGGTTCAGGGAGAGATATAAAGGACAGCCTTCTTTAAACAAAACTTTGATGATAAGAAATCACTCTGAGTGCCACTCGGAAAATGACTGTAATTCATCTTTGTGGACAGTGACTTTGCAACTTCAGAGTCTTGAAAGCACATAGTGTGTACTGTGTTCAGTCAAGATCACTTCATTTAAGTTACAGAAAGCTGGTGAATGCATTTGACAAGACTGTTTTTTGCCAAGACTGCAGTGCAACCTTTCAAATTAATTAAGCATGCCTTCAATGCATAGGGGCCCACGCTGTCTCTGCTGTAGGATAGAATGAGATCATGCGCATGGAACGCTTTGGAAGTCTGTGCGAAAACTGCATACTGTGATTGTTATGATGACATCCGGGCAAGACTGACTTTGTGCTACTTCACAAACTTACCCCAGTTTGACTGTAATGCCCATGCTGATCCCAACTCTGGCTGGGTAAATCAGTTCTTTCCAGGTCAGTTGTCATTTCAACTTGTTTCAAGAATAACTGCTGGGACCAGCAGTTAGCGTAATGGCTATGTCACTGGACTCCCATGTAGTTGACAGCAGTTCGAGTCCCGGACCCAATGGCTTAAACTCATGCTGGGTGCATGTGTGTGCGTGCCCAAGATCCTGAGAAGAGAATGAAGGAGAAGGGATTGCGGCTTGGTCATCCCCCCTGGGGGGTGATTTTTCACTTTCTGTCTCTCTGTCTCTCTGTCTTTCTCGCAAGTGCACGGGCCGTATAGCAAAAACCTCTCCAAATAAAGAATAACTGCTGAACTGGGACCAGCAGGTGGCGTGGTGGTTAAGGCACTGGACACTCCCACATGGCTGACCACAATTCAAGTCCTGGACCTGGTGGCTTGCTTTCTCACTACGCTCCCCCCGCCTCTCTCAGGTCTAATTAAAATAAATAAATTGATAAATTAAATAATTATTTTTTAAAAAGAATAACTACCGAACATGAAAGGTAAAGCTAAAATACTCTAATTGCTAGCTGATCTTATAGCTGGCAGTTATTGAAAACACCAAATGCAGACTATTGCCTCACCTTGGTTTAAAGGAGCACCATAAGGTTGAATATCTCCGAAGCCAGAAGCCTTGTTGTGACACGCTCTGCACCTTTTCCAGCAAGCAGGAAACCTTGGCAGTTTCCTTCGTTCTCTAGAGCAGCTGTCTGACCCCACTGCTGACAGAGAACCTAGAAAGAAAAGCTGGTGTGAGTCCAACAGATGCTCATGATCAGATCTATTACAGTGTGGAAACCTCTTGTAACAAAAATTATTCAGATCTTGAGATCCCAAGAGAGAGTATAAGGAAGTACAGGGAGATTGTCCACAGGGCTGCTTGAACACGGAGGAAGAGAAAGGACTGGGTGTGCAGAACCAGAGAGAGATTCTTTAACTCCACGTGCTGGTGAATACAGGATCCACACTGAGCTTCCCAGTAGGAGACCGGCGTATGAAGAAAGCAGGGACCTAACTTGTCCCTCACTTTATCTGGAACATACAGAAGCAAGACGTCCAAGAAAGCAAAGGGTTGGGGGGTGGGGCCAGAATTTAAAAAAAAATTAAAAAAGAGAAAGAAAAAGAAAGGAAAAGAGAAGAAAACACTTTTGAAAAAGCTTTGGTGCTTGGTGCAAAGGAGCAGGTGCTGAGTAGGAAAGGTCTTTGGAGACTAGTTCAGGAGGCTGCAGCTGGAGCTCTCCAAGGAGAAAGAACTGGGGGTGGGGGGGTAGGAGCAATGATCTCTTCAATCTTCTGTTCTGTTCTTTTTTTTTTTTTAAGATATTTTTCCATTGGGTGCATGTGTGCACTCACTGGACAGACAGAGAGACAGAAATCGCCCACCCCCCGAGGGGGAATGGCCATCGCCATGCTGCAATTCCTTCTCCTCCATTCTCCTCTAAGGATTTTGGGCATGCCTAGACCCATGCCTGGTATGAGTTTTAAGCTGCCAAGTCTGAGACTTGAACCATGGTCGGTCATGTGGGAGTCCAGTGCCCCAAGCACTATACCACCTGCTGGCCCCAACCCACCATTCTTCATTTGCCCACTAGAGAGGCCTAAAGACCATTTCTTTCTTTGCACCTGCTATCAGATTGCATCGCCCCTTTTCTGCCTATAAAACCTACGTCTCCTTACTACTGATTAATATTATTAATACTGTCCCACCAGTCTGTTTTTGTAGGATCGTTCTACCGTTCCCCTTTCCCATATTGACTTTGATTGGCCTGAGTGCTTCCTTAGGTTCTGTTTACATCTCAGTGTAGAGCGTGGGCTATGACAAAGCACAATTTGTTTAGAAAACATTCACATGGAGTTTACCACTTGCCAGCACTATGCTGGGCCTTTTACAGCTACTGTTGGTAAAAACTAGTGTGCTGAGAAAAACAACTTTAGTAAACATGAGTATAAGGCAGGCAATTAAAAAAATAGTTTACTGTCATCCTGCATTGTCTGGAAAGGGCTATTTGAGGTGACAAATCATACATGAGGATGTATGTCTGAAGGAGAGAAGGCCTGGATCTGAGCATGGGCTCTAGCTGGCCCCAGGACCCGTGGAAATCTGAAGAAAATGTGTTAAGGATTGATTATTACAAAGATAGGAGGCAAACAAGAACTGTTGTGTCATCAGAAAAATACGTCATGACTTTTCTAATGACTCCAGTAGTTTCTCTGGAAACCAGGATCACAAAGTTGTTTTTTGTTGTTGTTGTTTTGTTTTTTTTTAAGGGCTTTTAATTTTTTTTTTTTTTGGAGAGGTTTTTTTCGCCATAGGGCACATGCGCTCGCCAGACAGACAGAGAGAGACAGAGAGAAGAAAGCGAGAAATCACCCCCCAAGGGGGGATGGTCACGCCACAATCCCTTCTCCTCCATTCTCCTCTCAGGATCTTGGGCACGCACGCACACGTGCCCGGCATGAGTTTTAAGCCACCGGCTCCTGGACATGAACTGCGGTCGACTACATGGGAGTCCAGCGACATAGCCATTACGCTAACTGCTGGTTCCCAAGGGCTTTTAGTTTTTTAAAATAATTTTTTATTTTGTTTATTCATTCATTTATTTTAATTTGACCAGAGAGAGAGAGAGAGAGAAAGAAAGTGAGAAAGCAAGCCTCAGGTCTGGGACTCAAACCTTGGTTGACCAAGTGGGAGTGTCCAGTGCCTTAACCACCACGCCACTTGCTGGTCCCCAGGGTCACAAAGTTTTAAGACTGCTCAGATAAAATGACTTTAGAAACTGGGGCCAATAGACAGTGTGGTGGTTAGGGCACTTTACACTCCCACATGGCCAACCACAGTTTGAGTCCTGGACCTGGTGGCTTGCTTTCTCACTTCCTCTCTTTCTCTCTCTCACTTTGTCCCTCTCTGATCCAAATAAAATAAATATAAACTAATTATTTTCTTTTTAAAAAGATAGAATTGTCTATATCCTGCCCTCTGGTTAAATTAAAAATAAAATGAATGAAAAAATGAAATTAAATAAGTAATTCTTAAAAAAAAAAAAAAGAAAAGAAAAGAAAAGAAAGAAAGAAAGAGAAACCATCTAGTCCAAGGCCATATCTTTGGTGCAGGGATAAAGCATGATGCTCTGTGAGGCTGACCTACGTGGGAAGATTTTGGGTTCACATCCGAAGACTCCCCTGGGAATGCCCATGGTCTGGATGTCTGAGAGTAGGCGTGGATCATGGCATCAAGAGTCTATTTGTGGATGTTGTCTCTCTGTCTTTCTCTCTCTGTGTCTCTCACTCGTGGAAGAAATAAATACTAAACTTGAAAAAAAAAATTATCTAGCCAGTGGTTCTTAAGTCTTAAGGTCTATCCGAATCAGACTGCTAGATCCACCTTCATTTTCCAGTCTAGTAGGTCTAGGATTGATCTTGCAAATATACAGTTCTAATAGTTTAGGTGATGTTAATGTTGCCAGGCCAGGGACCACACTTTGAAAACCACTGACTTTCATCCAAGTCTGATTCTGCCAATGGGACAAATGAGGCCCTAGGAAATAAGATGATGTGCTCAATAATACACAACAAATTAGAAACTGGAAATTATATCCTGATTTTTCTCCTGTCTCTTCTGAGGACTGGTTGTGGTCTCCCAGGTGCAAAAAGAACAAACCAATTTTAAACTGAATGTAAAGTGTATTTTTTAAACATTTAGTTTTATCTTGGTCCTATTGCCTCAAAATATTTTCAGCTTCCTGGTTCATGAATAAAAGTCCTTATCTGAATACAAAATATTAATGTACTCTTGCTGAGAAGCCATCGTGAGAAGTTACAGAAGTGACAAATAAATTAATTGAGCATGATAGAATTCTAATGAAGTAAATAATTCTTGAAAGGGCTCTATGAAACAGGCGGTTGTGTTTTTTCAGTTTTCAACTCAAAATAATTTGTATTTTGCTGTTCCTATGCATTTCTGATTTCTATGCATTTTTAATTTCTCTCCTTTATCTCTTTGTAGACAAAATAACCAGAACATTACAAATAATACTGGAGGTTGTTCCAGAAGAAGATTGTCATAAATTATGAATTCATGCATTCGTAATCTCAGCAATCAGCAGCCAAAACCACAATATGGATCTTTATTGTATTTGCTGAAAATCCAGAGAATGACAGCTTTGGTGATGGACTAAAGGAATCAGTTATTTCTATTCATATTTTTCAGTATATTTACACTAATTTCTGAGAAATGTAGCTATAACTCTGTAGGAAACTAACACGCAATTGTACCATGAGTTCATGGATTCTCGAGTCTCTGCTCCCTGCCTGTTAGGGTTAGGAGGAAAGACTAAGGGGTGGACAGTTACTTTCATGATCCCTCTCTACCGTGTATTGTGGTTAAGAACCTTTAAATGTCTCAATCTTCAAATTGAAAATTGAGATGTTTCCTGTGGACAGGGGTTTTGTAAATGTAGCTTTACATACTGTAAGTGTATATACTGTGAAAAAGTTTTTATTCTAAAAAAAAAAAAAAAAGAGACATCATTTTTAGGGAAAGGAGAAAAAATAATGTTTAAACTTTAACATTGCATTCTTTTCTAATGAAGTAAATAATTCTTGAAAGGGCTCTATGAAACAGGCGGTTGTGTTTTTTCAGTTTTCAACTCAAAATAATTTGTATTTTGCTGTTCCTATGCATTTCTGATTTCTATGCATTTTTAATTTCTCTCCTTTATCTCTTTGTAGACAAAATAACCAGAACATTACAAATAATACTGGAGGTTGTTCCAGAAGAAGATTGTCATAAATTATGAATTCATGCATTCGTAATCTCAGCAATCAGCAGCCAAAACCACAATATGGATCTTTATTGTATTTGCTGAAAATCCAGAGAATGACAGCTTTGGTGATGGACTAAAGGAATCAGTTATTTCTATTCATATTTTTCAGTATATTTACACTAATTTCTGAGAAATGTAGCTATAACTCTGTAGGAAACTAACACGCAATTGTACCATGAGTTCATGGATTCTCGAGTCTCTGCTCCCTGCCTGTTAGGGTTAGGAGGAAAGACTAAGGGGTGGACAGTTACTTTCATGATCCCTCTCTACCGTGTATTGTGGTTAAGAACCTTTAAATGTCTCAATCTTCAAATTGAAAATTGAGATGTTTCCTGTGGACAGGGGTTTTGTAAATGTAGCTTTACATACTGTAAGTGTATATACTGTGAAAAAGTTTTTATTCTAAAAAAAAAAAAAAGAGACATCATTATTATGGTAAAGAGGAAAAATAATGATTTAACATTGACATTGCATTCTTCTCCTTAAATAGCGGTGTAGATAGCATTCATCTTCCATGAGCATGTTGAACAAAAGCAGGAGAGATATCTAGTTTTCTTGAATATATTCCTCCTAGAGGAACTTCTAAGAGCTATGAATGAGACAAACCCAAGCGTTATATTGAGGAAAATCCTTGAGAATGTATTATATTAGTTTTTCACTCATTATCAGGAAGTTTCACAGTTATGTGTCATTTTGTTTTTACATCAGCCTGTTCGATAAGAAAGGTGAGTAACGCTTTGAACAAGAGTCAGTATGGCAGTGAATCCATTTAGAAACAGGCACTTGTTTCACTAGCAGTTTATCCCTTGATGAATATATTTAAATATATGCATGTAACGTGTTCAAATTACAATACATGAGAGGAACCACCAATAACGAAAATGTCCAAAATATTAGCCCTACCCTCATGATCGTATCTATATGAAATGTAACATTTCTAAGCATTTTTTAAATTTCGTGGTTATTTTTACATGGTGATGACTTTTGACAGTTTGTGCATTTCCTCTGCACATTTTATATTCAGTTAAAATATCTTTTCAGATAAAACTGTCCAGATCAATTAGGAAAAGGCATATATATTTACATAAAAATTGAGGAAGATGTGTCGCTGCTGAGTAAGATTTACAAGTGATGTTTCTAAAAGAATTCCACTACTATAGCTGGACTTTGTCAGTAATGTACTCACCTTCATTATTATTCATCTTGCAAAGAGGTAACTGCTATGTTCATTGCAGGAAGGAGAAAGTGAGTGTTCAGGCAGATGTTGCTACGCGAGCCTTAGAAAACACTGTGGATTTTCAAATGAGATTAATCTAATGATGAAACTTGAAAATAGGATTTAAATACATCTCAGATCACATGGTTAGTCATGGCCAGGGTATGTTTCATTCTCTAATTCATGTCCATTTGAAAATAAGAAATTTTAAAAGCACTACAGTGATCAAAGACATTTAGGACAGACATGGCATTCATAGATAATTGCCCAATGTAAAAGTGATTTACAATTTGGAGTCATTCCAATTCACTAATTGCAATTTTTGATTTTGATAGCGTTCTTCTTTTTCTCTCTCTACCTGTATGTGTATATATATATATCCAAAATTGGTATTCTTTTCAGCCAAATTGAATATTTGGGTCTCTAAGTGAATGTATAACAGTTCCTTCATTTTACTCTTAGCATGGAGTTTTCATTATTCTTTCTGTAGTTCCTTTTTCCAATATATATTGTTCATTACGTCACATCTCTCCCTACTATATGTAGCTAGAGGTAAAAGTTTTTTTCTTCTTCTTTTTTTTTTTTTTTTTAAGAAATCTAGGCTCGTAGTATGTAAGAAACAAACTTTTTTTGAGGTTTTTCTTGCCTAATGAAATTATAATGTCTCATGGAGGGCTTGGTGTAGTTCTTGGTTTTCCTTGACCTTAATGTGCTGATATTGACAGTAGCAGATTGGTCTCATCATTTTACTTATTTATTTTTGCTTCTCATGTCTCTTTAAATGTATCATTGTATAAGCTAACTAGAATACTTGGCCATTATTCTTCCTTTTATTTTTCAAAAGTGATTTTTACATTGTTAATTCCCTACTGCCATCATAATACCATTTAAACCACATGGATAGTCAGTCAGTAATTGAAAAATAAAAAAAGATAGAGGTTTTAAGTTATTTGGCTTAATTTTTAGGACATATTATGAGAAGACACAGGGTTTCCATAATTAGAGGATCAATATTTTTGATTTTTAATAAAAATGTTAGTATGTAAAGATTCTAGATCAAAAACTCTACTGCACACACATATATATATATACACACACATATATGTATATATATACACACATATATATGTATCTTATACAAAGGAAATTATTTCATATATTCAGAACAGCATTTTTTATGAGAAGGCTTTAAAAAGTTTATGGAAAATACATATTATGAACAAACTATGTATGGTCTTCAATTTTTTTGCATAAAAAACTCATAACTTCAATCCATTTTCCACTAACTTTTTGAAAGTCTCCTTGTATTTACACACACGCACACGCAGTTATGCGTGCATACTTGCACATTCACATGCTTGTACATGTATAATGAGTTTCTAGAACAAAAAGTAAAAATGGCCAGCACAGTTTGCAATAAGTAATACATTGTTTAAAAATACTTTTTTTTTTTTTGAGTACCTAGAATGGCAGTATTTCATTTAAAAAGATTTTCGTAGGATTTCTAAAGCTAAAACATAACTTAGTTAAAAAAGACCTTTGATGGTCATGAATATATGAAATAAATATATTTCACATAGTGCTATTTGGACCCCAGTTTTAAAGTATTAGTTTATTATTCTTCAAGTAAATGAAGAAAACTGGACTATTATGAAAGGCCATTTGGTCAGTTGGAAGTAGAAACTATTCTTGTCTTTGTTTACAGGAAGTTAAAGATTTGTCCTAGAAAAGATGGCTGACTCAAGTAGCAAATCTAAAAGTCAGGTGGGCACATGCATTCACCTGTGTATGCCCTTTTGCCATGACTCCCCTGGTCCTGCTGCTGTAAACTTAGTACAGCTTATCAGGGTTCAGTAGCAATGCAGGACAGTTTCTCTAGCACTAAAATATACACATTGAAATAAGTTTTTAGATTTCTTGTGCATCTGGTAAAATTGTTTCCCCAATTGCTGTCCACAGGTGGGTAACCTGAGTCTAATTACATAGCAGGATTCTTCATGAACTGTCATCAGTCTTCAGGAAACTCATTATTTTGTCTCAATTTACAGAGGAACTGTCATACTAAGAAAGGGACCAGGTTTGACCTTGGTTAAAGTTGGTCTCTTAAAAATCAGGTATAAGTTAGGAAGAGATAGAAAACTGAAGGTCAGTGTAGCAGGATATAAAAGATGGTGTGTGATGAAAGGGAAGAGTATTTTGTTGTTATGCAATATATTATGCAGTGTAGGCAGAGAATGTTAAAAAGTGTCTGCTGTGGATAGGTGGATATCCTGAAACACCAGGGAAACAGGCGCTGATGCATCTCACTTCCTTATATGCTTTCCAAGGTCCTATCCCTAATACCACATTAGGAATTTTGCATTAAGCTTTGTGAAGAAGACTAGCAAAGCTGTATTTCATTCTGGCCCCACAAAATCTGCATCTGTCCCTGAGATTAAGGTAAAATAACTGCTTTTTTTCTTTCTACTGACAGCAAGCATGGGGTATTTGCAGGATTAAATTTTTAGGTTTTTTTTTTTTTTGCCATAGGACACGTGCACTTGTCAGACAGAGACAGGAGAAATGAGAATCATCCCCTAGGGGAGATGGCCACACTGCAATGCCATTTCTATTCTCCTCTCTGGATTTTGGGGCTTCATGCACACCCCTGGCATGATTTTTCAAGCCACCAGGTCTGAAACTCAAACCATGGTTGGCCATGTGGGTATCCACCACCTTAACCACCAAGCCTTCTGCTTGCCCCTGTAGGATGTATTTTTAAATGCTAATGTTATGAGCTAATTAAAATGTGTCTATATAACTATGAATGGCTTTCTATCAACACATATTATGTGATAGATAAGGTAGTTTTACCTTGTATTTTTTGTGTTGGTTTTGAATGACAGAAAAATAGCAAATGGCATTTTAATTATAGCTTTTAGTTTAGAAAGAAATAGACATTCTGAGGAGGCAGATGACTCAAAAAATTTGATTTTACTTGAATACAATCTTGTTCCATTGTACCCTTCATGAGATGCAGTGTGTTGGTGCTGATAATGTTTACAGAGTTACATTTTTATTTCTCCAACCATTCAGGAGTTAGACTTGGCATGGAATGACTGGCAAGAAGCTCCTGGCAAATGTCATTAGAGTGCATGATGAGTCATCTTGGTAGCTTCTGTTTACATTATTTATATTATATATAGGTAGAATAATGATTACCTGTAAACATATTTTAGTTTCATTTTCCCATAAACAGTATTTTTAATCTATCTCGATATATTAATACTTAAAAGTGTGGCCTCTCCTTAGGCCATAATTTATTAGTACTGTACTTAGAAAAAGACATTTTAACAGCTTTTTAGATCCTTTTCTTCCTTTTGTTGAATTTTCAGATTAAACACTATGCCTATTTTTAGATGAGATACAGATGAACGAAAGCAAATCATGATCTCACAGCAAGTTCATTCATCTTCTCTATGTTGTGAGATACTGTC